TCACTTAGCATGTTATATGAAACTAGGTTTTATTCCGTGTGACGACATTTTTAACCGGCATGTAAGCATATAAGCTCACACAAGTTATACAAATATAATTCATAATGATCACGGTTCTCATGATTTGTTGCAAATCCTTTTTCAGCACAAGGGATTTTTCGCTTTTACGATCATTTCTTACTGTTCGTTATTCCTGTATGCTCCTCAGCCCAACGGACGGGTTTTTATACCAAACCGTTTAATTTTACCGCTAGACTTATGTGTCGTTGCTTCTCAGTTAAATACATTTCCTTCCTAATTGGTTAATGTCACTATACATTCCAAGCTCACCGTATTCTCTCCTAGTCCATTGTTTAATGGGAACGACCCGTCTATGGTGTGCTGATTCGCTTATTGACGTATAAGTGCAAACAAACTAGTATTTGCGAGGTATTGCCAAAAAATCTCGATCGGTGATGCACCGTTTGCATTGTAATCACCGGTCTAAGCCAGCAGATTCGCTAAAACTTCTCCTTTTAATTTACCGGTGGCTCTCCTTGTCCCAAAAAGAATTCGTTTGTGTAACATATCCCGAAGTGGTAAATGTCAATCTTCTCTCTTTGTTAGTTTAGATGATAGATACGGTGCCCCGTACTTATTACTCGCAGATTCCTCAAACCCTTGCCATTTTAAACGATTGGTCATCACCACTGATTGAGTTCCGATCACTTACCATTTACCGAATCGAACCAACCAGTCCAGTTTAATATTTTTTGATTGGCTGATCACACCCACCCACTTGTATCATAAATCTCTTTTGGTAACATCGTTTATGGGAAGAAACAGACACAGTGTAGATGATGCACGTCCTCCCTGAACGATGCTTTTGTCTATCCGCGATCACAACTGTCGATCTTTTGCTGTTTCACTGTTTTTACGTTGTTCCACCCGGTCGACCATGTATCATTTTGAATGTCTGCCACCCTAATCAACGATCGTTTCTATGCTGACACTGCAGAAGCGCATATGGTTTTTTTAGCTCGTTGAGGCGATCTGCACACTCTCTCTCGGTTTCGCGCTCTGCCATTTGGAAACGCTTGACAGTCATTACCAGTAGCGGTTTGCGCGTAAATGATTGTTATCCCCATATTCTCTTTTTTATATCGCATTTCCAGATCGGTTAATCTAATGCAGCTAGTGACTTATTTTGATACATTATTCGATGCATTTTCCCCCATCGGGACCCTATTTAGCTGTATATCTCCAACCTTCTCATGCCAACTAGTTTCGCTAGTATCTGCTTGGTCGGGAATAAACTCTATTGTCTTCTATTCTTGGTCCCCATCACCACTTTGTATTCATTATTCTGAACTTCGAAACATTTTGATGCCATACGTACATTTGAGCTGACTTGCGATTAATTGCATCACTGTATCAGTTATTAGAGATTTTCAACGGCCATCCTCGTTTATGTAGCATGGAAAAATATTTGAGCCGATTGGTACAATAACATTGCACGCACCTTCTCCCCATGAAACCACAAACGAATCAGTGGAGATTTACTGCCGATGAGTACTGTTGAAAGGTTGACTGAATGAGTTAAGATTTGTGCTCGAAAATGATGCGTTTACTCGTGGACAGTCACAATAAAAAGACGCCTCCTTATCCCTCATATATGCTGATTCATTCCGATGAGCCCGATGTTATTCTCTTATTCGCAGTCCTCCGTACCCATCCACCGTCACTGATCTTTTCTTTTCTCATCTTTCAAGCATAGTTTCTTGCTCGCTCTTCATTCCGTTTGGGTCGTAAGTTCTTTTCAGATGTTATCCCATTATCGACGAGACTGGCGTAATCGATGATTAGAGGCGCTCACTGAGTGTCTCAAACAGTGGCGTTTGTGCATTCATCTGAATACTCCTTTTTAACATTCACATTACTCTCAGCATTCAGATTTTTCCTTTACTCCTTTGTCAAAATGGGTAGTCAAAAGCGAGCAATCGAAACCGCTGATCGATTGTGCATTGCTAGAGGATTGCGTAAAGTCGAAAAAATAGAGTAAAATATCGATCGGATCTGTCGATGTAGAATCATAGCACTATCCACGGTTTTCAGTCAAACAGTATTCTCCATGTTCAACTGTCGCTCTTTTTACCAGGCTTTCTGAAAAAGGATTAATCGTGTTTACTTTGATCATCTTTAACTGTACTAGGTGATGCTGTTTGTGCCACGATGTCTTTTTCACTTCAAACTAATGGTTTCATCGTGTTCACTTGATTCCGCGTCTCGTCTGCATCCATCATCCCACAACTGTCGATTGGCGATTATGGTAGGTCTGACGTCTCAGTCTCATATACGCGTAAGCCTTTTGGGTGATTGTGCGATGGAATATTAATGCAAATTACTATTCGTTTTATCGCCACGCAACGAACCACGTGATTGTTGCAACTCAACGGGCATTTGAGATTTCAAGTTTCTCGTTGTTCGGTTAAACTTTTCACGTAAACCGTTTCGCATCAACTAAACTGTATCATGCGCACGCATGCTAGCCTAACCCAAACACAGTCAAATGCGCTTTCCCGCTTGGATCGTTCCCTTTCGTCTTCTAATTATGAAAGTTGCGATTCAGCGTAGTATTTTTTCCATAATAATCGATCACGGAAATACACAATCAGTGGCTATTTAAACTGAAAACTGATAGCAAATCAAATCCTCCCCCCCCCCCTTCGTACTGTTGGGTCTTCCTCTCGGTGTCGTTCTCGAATATGTGCGTATTGGATGCCGACAAAACAATTTGGGATTAGTCAAACCTGTGTTCGGTGATTGGTTTATCTGTTTACTCACCTGACTGCTGTCATCAATAATGATTTAATTTATCATCATTGAACGGCTTATCACACACGTATCGGTCAAAAAGGTTCATTCCATCTCGACGGGTTTCGTTTAGTTCATGCATCTTTCGCCATTGCAAGCCTTTCATCAATCTGCGTGCTATTTGTATTTTTCGGATGGTGTTTTCCTGGATTGTTTGCCCTCATCTACCGCATACAGAGATGGTCTGCTTCAGCTGCGAATTCGGGTTAGTAAGCAACCTACGGATCCACTACGTTGTAGGTCCTAACAGTTTCCCTGTGAGAAATACTTGGTATGGTAACACATCTATTCCAATTAAAACTAGTTGTTTCTTAAATGTAGTCGTACAGAAACATTTTGTTTTTTTTGTGCTCACAACATCACAGAATTGCTTAGCCAATTTTTCAACGTTCCGTCAAATGGTAGAACTGAAGAGATTTTGAATTTCCGCGTCATGAAATGATCGATACCTACGTGTGAACTTGTGCATCGGCTGCTTCACGTTTTACTCTAAGTGGTTTGAATATATTCCAAAGTTGATAAATGTGAATCAAGGCGCTTCTCTGTGTAGTATTAGTTGCTCGACGTTGTTGTTGCTCTGTATTCGTCCCGAAGGAAAATGACTAAATGGTAGTAGTGTTTTCGCAGAACTACTGTGCAGCCTAGTTCAACATGCATACTTGTTTTTTCATCAATTTTTGCCTCAAAATAAGCATCCAGGGTAATAAATCATCGGGCAGCATTCCTTGTTGAAGTGCCCTCTGAAAAAAGCCCATCAACCCCGGGGACTTTTAGATGACAGTTATTTAGTGTCAACAAGAATAGTCAGGCTTCATTCCTCGAAGCCATTAATCCAGTACTGTCACGCAACGGTTTAGGTTTTTGTTATTTCCTCTATCCATTTGGTCCATCGATGACAAAGTAGTAAATTGAAGAGTTGCAGGCGGAGAGCACCATCCAATTAAAGCTACAAACAGCAAGTCAACTAGGTCTGACTGGAAATTAAGTTGATGCCTTTGTGCCACTATTGACGATATCCCGACATATCACCCATGGTCTCTAACTAATGATTAGATAGGTCACGATGTCCCCTACGGGCAATCCGATACGACCAATGTGACTGGCTTTCCCGGCCATGGTTTTCTTACCCGTATACGGAGTTTTATTCTGACTACCATTACTTACCTTCTTACCTTTCCCACTTCGATCAACATCGCGCTGCTCCTCAACCATCACAAAAAATCAATTCAATCATCGAATTGACTTTCACTGCTGCATTGGACAAGGCTGTCGCCTCATAGTTACTCAAGGAACCCCAATACCCGATCGGCCATGTATTCAGGAAACCCGAAGCTCACATATATGCTACATCCTCGGTGGTTTGAACTCATCCCCTGTACGATCTAGTTGCAAATAGCTCACTAACCGGGTCAGAATCCCTCTCCCGGTAGATTTCTCTGAGTATTATTTCTCAAATTTAGACCCGTTATATCAGGAAATTAGGAGGCATTTACGAAGACATCCGAGACGGTAAACTATCAAACGTCCATCCTGGACTATAATGAGGCGTTTGGGGACCTCAAATCGGTTAAAACTTGTTCGAATAGTCTCCAAACATTTGTAATGTGCGGTTCGGTCTGCATGTTGGTGGATGATATATTGAGCCTGCAGTTCATTGGAATTTGATTTTTATTCATGCACAATTCAGTGGATTCACTAATGCATCTCGTGTTTTTCTCTTCTTTTGTGTGAAACATCAGTGGTTTCTCACTCCCTGATGATACCTGAAAGTTAGCTTCTTCTGTTTTAATTTCGGTGCCAACAATGTGAAGAAATTTATACACTAACTAGAATAGTCTCAAATAAACATTATCATTGCTCTTTTCGAGGGATGCAGATTAATGGTGTGAAAATGTTGTCTCATGCTTTCAGAGGAAGTAGCGTTATTTAACGGTTAACTACATGCTAATTGTTATATCCATAGCTGTTAATAATTGTTAGTTGAATGTGTGTCCACGTTTATGTAGGATATGTTTACATAAAGGTTTATAATCACTTTGATCAGACTGCATTCTTCTTGTCATGTGCGCAGGAGCGTTTGATATTCGCTATGACGATATCCGTTGAACCTCCCACGTTGGTTTTCTGTGGAATCTCGTATTTTTCAGGTTTATCCANCTCCCGTGAACCGGCCTATGCAGACGCCCAAACACTGACGGAGGTCCGTCGACGCCTGTTTGTATCGCGTGTGAGATTAACTCATTTGACAAACTGTCGACAGAAATTAATCTATAGCCTGATCTGTGCCTTATCTGCTGAACAGAACGGTTCCGGTGAACCGCCAAAACACATCTATGTAGATGCACTCATTCGTGCCGGCTTTGTTAATCTTCCTTGGACTACGGCCTTATCACAAATATCGTCTGCATCATCTGGCGAGACCCAGGCGGTTTCCGCGCAATCTCCCGCTGTGCGATGGATTCCGGTCCCGGATTTGGATGACGAAAGCACGGTTAACAAATTGACCAAACCACTGGGTGTGTGCTCCTCCTGTTTTAAATTTATTTCGTTGTGTATATTATGAAGTGATATGTCACGCTGCTCTTGTTTCATGCTGTGTTTCAAACATCCCAAATACTTTTTGGTAAAAGGCAGTTAATCAATGCTTCATTCGTGGGCGTAAAACTGACAGGCTGCTCAAGCCAGAGCACGTGCTTTTCTTAGGGATTCATAACAGTATTGATTGGACCACTAAAATCCTGACAAGCATGACTTTGAGCTGGTGTGTGATACTTGCGGTTGGTTAGGAAACTGTGCACAGTTGATCAGATCTTATGGCCTCAGGATACTGTTCATACTTCTAGAGTGACCATCGCAACCTGGATTTCCTGAATTCAGTTTATCCTTTGCTTTTTCTGATATTTGGCGTTACGTTTTTCTACCTCTCTGTAGATGTGATAGTTAGTTATCCGTCTCTCATCAATTCGGCCTCATTCCAAGCTTTCCGCCTTTCTACTTTTGTCTCATATTCTCCTCACACGGAAGTGGTGAGCAGGGCTTAACAGTAAATATTCTACGCCAAGCACTCCGCGAGAGCATTTTCTGGCGTCCACAATGAGGCTTTGTCCGCTTCTTCAGAAACTGCGGTCTCCGAGGTCTGCTAGACCATATGAAACGTCGATGAGTTCAGTACAATTAGCTTTTAAGGTAACTTCCATGAGTATGCGACTCCATGACGGCTTCCTGGATTTGATCATGACGGCCGTTTTATCATTCGATGACAATGCACTTTGAGTGATGATAATATCAATTTGCGTTTACTGGATATGGATAATCGTCTTCTGACGACACATAGTACCGCGGAGCACTTTGTTCTGCTCCACTGCCTCAGTGTTTTACCGCTTTCATATTTTTTTCCACACTGTTGCATATAGCATACAGTAACAGTGAAATTCAGAACAGCTTCAACAACCAAAGTTCAATAGGTTTTTTGGCTCCCTGTCATCCGATCACTTTAGCAATGGGATGTGCAATTAAATGGTGGAAAAATGTAATACTTTCGTTTTCAACTTTACACCGTGCAAGTCACAATTTCCCTGCGTGAATCAAAAACACTCCATGTGACATGGTTTTGCATGCAGTCTTCACGTAGGAGACTGCGTTCATTGTCGATTGTCTTGTACTAGCTCGCATATCCTAAAGCAGTATATTTTCAGTCCTATTGAAATATTGCTAATCTCACCTTGTTGAATAAAACTTTCGCCAGTGAGCTTGTAGCATGGAATCCCATTGAATTATGTGCCTTATGCATGGTGCGAACAGGCTTTAACACCTATAATTCTAACTGTGCATAGGCCCATAATTGAAATATGTACACCTGGAGTTGAGATGAAATAGGTGTGTCTGCGTCCTAGAAATGAGTGTATCTAGTCAGAGCGAACACTATTAAATCTTTCAAGTGAAGTCCAGGAATCGCTTTATTCACCGCGAAGGGTGGGTATTCAGCGTCTGTTGAAAGAGAGTCATAAAAATCCTTAAGGACATAAGATGAGCAAGAGGAGGCAATATATACATTCACAAGAATGAGTGACCGGGAAAAGCTGAAATGTTTGGGCTCACATTGAAGTACTGATGCGTTTATACAAAGTGTAGAATAAGAGAACACATTTTTGATCAGATGACACCACTGATTTTTGACCAATGTGATGATACCACCACCCCGTCTGGAATAAGGAACAAGACGATCGATACGATGGCTAGCGAAACGATCTAGGTGTACTATTTCATCCTCAGTTACGTTGTAAAGCCATTTTTTTTAAGCATGATCACCCCTAGCTGGAAATATCCCCTTAGTTTGGCTAATGTGAGGAGGTCGGCTGTATTTCCGACAAGAGGTCGGAAGTTACAACTGAGAGTGATTGGGATGGTTTGTTTCCGAAGAGCAACTCTCCAACCGGAGCGATGCTTCGGATTTTTCGAAAGCTTCCTGACGGTCCTTTTGGTTTTATTCCCTACTGTTCTCCCAAAACAGGTAGTAGCTACACATTTGTTCTATTTGATTGAATGCATGAAATCCCTGTTGTATTTGACAAAATTAGTCATCACTGTAGTCGCACAATAGTCGCCTTGGAAACCAAGATAAAAGTTCATGAGAATGCCGCAAAAAACCGTAGACAGTGATGGTCCTGTAGTGAATAATTCGGTGATGGAAAAACGGATAGCGCGGCCGAAATTTGCAGCTCATTGGCATGACTGTAATTCGTGTTCGTTGTCTTCCTAAAGTCCCTCAATCCTCTTCGACAATGCCCCTGACTCTATCCAACACGTGGCACTCAAGGCGCTGTTCGTTATTATTTCGTAGCATCTAAAAGACCACTGCAGTCTATTAGGATATCAGGCTTCAGATCCAACCTTAGCTCATGGTCAGTACGCAATAAATGCAGTTGAATGTAGTTTACTCTTATAAGTATTTGTATTTGCTCGCTGTAACGAATTTCCCACGTGTATTGAACTCATAGCACGGTCGCACCGGCTGTGTTATTCCAATTCCCCACTCGAGTGACTGGATATGTGAGCTTCTCCGTATGAGGTCTTGTTGGAATGAATGATTTGCACCGGTTTTCTGTTCTTGGGAATGGGGCAGAGGAGAAGTTGGCAGACAAATCATACTTCATCGTGAAGTGTATGCTGGCTGAACTGTGACACAAGTGGATGAGTCAGACTGCGACGTGTACCGTTTTTCACTATGTGGCTTCGTTTGCGCGAACAGCCGGCGTTTCGATTGTCTCGTTTCGCGCAGACGTATAGTAACCTTTTCACTTAGCTTCGGGCTTTAGAGATCATGTATTTGGCCGGTCGCTCTCCTCTAAGGAGACCATAAGACAGTCACTTTTTAAATTGTGGTTCTGCCCCGGTTCTCCTGCCGCCGGACTGTGTGCGCGTAATTTTGTTGTTGTCATTTTCTCTTTTTCGATGACTCACATTCGAGTGGCACGAAGACCGAATCCGCGAGCTTCATTCGGCCTTGATCTCCATGGTAATCATTCTGTTATTAAGCAGCCCCAAACCTTGATTCGACTGTAGTAAGAAAATTGTACAAGTCCTCCGCTTTTCGGTTTTGTGACTCATGATCAGTTTTTTAAGAACACGGGCCATACTATAAAACACTTAGCTCATAAGGCTAGATTTATCCTCCTTGTTTTGAGAATATAAACTGCAAATATTGTACTCTTTCGCAGGTTTCATATCATTGAAAACCGGATTGTTTATCACTGTTTTTATCCCCCACTTTATTCCTTTCCCGTTAGAATGGCCTCCATTCCCGTCCAGTGAACTGTCCTATGAAGATCTGAACGAAGATCTTTTTGACTGGGAAGTTGAGCGATTACGATTACTGGATGCCGACCAACGAGAGAACGATCCTTGGGATCCAGTTTCACCAACCGGGCTGATTACAACTGATGCGATTACCGACAGTGTAACAAAGGCTTCCTNCTTCCTTGACCATGGAGAGCGCTAATGTGGCCCCAATCTCTGTCACTACCAACTCTACGACAATGACTAACACCAATTTCAGTGTTCTTAACAAAAATGAGTCCCTTAATAGTGCTTATTCAACCAAGCGCTGGTCCGGCGAATATCCGTTCTCCACTTCACGTACATTTTCATCTCACCGTCCTAGTCAACTGAAAATTGGGTTGGCGTCAACGAACGGTACTTATGAGCCCCGATCCACTGGGTCTTCTTTGCGTCCCGCCGCGGATGGCAAGTCACCTAGCCTAACAGATGATACCAAACAGGTTTCTCCTGTTGTTCCCCGACCGGAAGTGGTGCTTTCGAAGTCCCCGACATTGGCAACACAAGAACAATCAGATAGTGATTTGGGTGAGCAGTCGTCTGCCACTTCGGTCAATTTGCGTCGATCTTCATCCGGTCGTTCACGACTGTCCGGATTTTCTTTTTCACGTTTTCGCCGCACACCCTCTTCAGCGGCTGTGAAACGTGCGCAAAGCTTTGATCAACCATCTACCTCTCCAAGTCCCGCGTCCGCTGTCGTCAGCCTAATGGATGCAGTACGTCCCAATCGCATATCGATTGAGTGTGCAACGGAGCGTGATGAGGCCGTCCCGACAACGACAACAACTACTACAGAAAAACAAAATGATTCGCAATCGGTGAGCTGTTTTTCAATTCACTTATTTTTTACCTTCAGGATTTGTCGAATTGGAGCTAGACACAATTCAAGGTAAATATATCAACCCACCATTACTTGCAACTAGTGGAGAGGGACAAGTGATGAACTGACTATCCTTCAAACATCGTCTTCACTTCCAATCCTCAATTCATCCAGTCAAACGTACACCCGAGAAGCACTAAACTCCATGTTCTCTCTACTTACAGCTCACTGGTAGTGCGTATCCACCGTCCAGTCTAGGTTTTAATCCATTACCCATCGCACAGATCACGTGTTTTACCCCTTCACCAACCGGCTCACATCGTGGCTGACCGAAATTGCCAGGTCGTGTTCATTCAGATGTCGTTTTCAGTGATAGTCAGTTGACCCGACAACAGTGATGTGAGATGATTGGCACTGTAGTAACAGACACACATTCCATGGGTTCCAAGTTAAAATTTCTGGGCTGGTTGAGGCAAGTACCCCGAATATCTGGACAAAATGTGGCCGATTTGCTGACATTGGACCAGACTGGGTTAACCAGTGAGGTGGGCAAGCTATAACGGGGTATAGATGGTTGAAGACGTTATGTTTAGATCTGGCTTCTCGGTTTCTACGCTGGCCTGCCAAAAATACAAGTTGTTGTTGGCTGGAGACGTTGTTAAACGTAGCATCGAATCAACGTCAGTGGCATGAGTGCATGTTTCTAACTCAAAAAGTTCAAATCCAAACAAGTCAATGTTCAGTCAAGTCCAGTCAAGAAAAGCTTTATATATATATATATATATATATATATATATTGCAANCAAATGTGTACAGTTTGACCGAATTTAGAAGACACGTAACTTTGTAATAATTGCTCTAGTTTCAGAAATCTGTCGTTTCCGTCATTTATTGTCTGTATTTACCCTTTGATTTATGGGAATAAAAAAAATTTGATCACATTACCACGCTTGTGTTGTCCAAGGTATTTTGGATGAATTATCGATTGCGTCTAAGGGATCCAATGCGGAATGTAAATAGTTTTACCATTCAACTATGGTTAATGATCGACTACTGTTTCCAACTTTCAAACGCTATTAGCTTTTTTCAGGTTTTTTTAGTCACTATCACACTGTCCCCTCAGTCTTTCGTTCTAATCCCATCACGTCTGTCAAAACCTGTCCGTCTTTTGTGATCCTTCGCAATCTATTGAAAATCGGTTCTCGTAGCTCGGGTGAACTGAATTCCATTTCGCCTGTTCGCCGAGATTGGCAATTTGTTGGCAAACGTTTTATCACCAGCCCAGGTGACATCATCAGTGCTTATGAAGTGGTGGTGTTGTGCTTGTGCGCGTTCGTTTAAAAATGTGGTCTCCACCGCCTGTCTTCGTCCCTTGTACTCACTCCATTCGACTTCGTTTCATCGTTGAACTGGTGCCTCGGGGGTGGTGGTGGGGGGGGTGAGTGAGGGTGGTGGGAGCGGAGGACGGGGTTGTTTTTTTTCTGATCTTGGTTTCCGTCCGTTCTCCGGGCACGGCATCCTTGTTCTCACCTTGGGTTTTGACAGAAGTCTCCTTAGAACGATGGTTGGTTTGTGAGCGACATGGATTCCATATGATCTGAGCAGTCCTGCGCTCATTTCCGAAACGTCCTTGATGTGTGGTAAGGTCGTTTTTGTTCCGGATTCTCCTTCTGTTGTTTGTTTCTTTCTTTGAGTCAAAGCTCTCTTGATAAAGTTGTGGGTGTAGCCATTGCGAGCAAATACTCTGAGGAGGTATCTTTCTTCTCGAGTATATCCCTGATAGACTCTCAAACGCACATCGGCTTACCTCCAGATTAATAGCCCATTCGCTCCATTCCACGTGATCCAAACTACGTAAACACCGATAATGGATAACTTCAGTTTATGGATATCCTTTATTCTCAAATCCAAGGTCTCACAACCATAAAGCAAAAGTGAACGAAATATACATGACCTTTCAAGTTCAGTGAAATGTCACGTCTACGCTAAAGGTGTTTCGCTATTGCATACGCCGTTTGAGACTTGGGAATGCTGGCAATTACCTCCTTTGTCATTATTGACACCAATACCTAATTAGGAAAAGCAATCAACTATAACTAATTCCTGACCACTTCGTTTCAAAGCGGTACTACGCGACTTCCTGTCTTCGACGCCATTTTGCACTTCGAAGCTGTCCTGATTGCGGCTTTGTTCCGTTCTCAGGTCACGACGTGACCTTTGTTGTTGCGTTATTTGATCCTTGAGTTGCATTGGCGTGTACACGTGATCTAGTTCGGTGTGCCTGTTCATTGAGTTGATTGAAGAGTGCCAAGCCTCGAGAAATTCTCTGGCACGTTTTAACCGGGCTTGGTCGATACTTTTCACTGAGTGGAAGTTGAACTGATGTCCTTGCATTTTATTTTGTAGATAACACTGCCCTTGTCATTCTCGACCAAGCCCGGTCAAAATATGTCAGAGAATATTTCGAGACTGGGCACGCTTCAGTCAACTCAATAAACAAGTATATCGAGCTGGATCACGTATACACGCCAATGCAACTCAATGATCAAATGACGCAACAAAAAATGCCATACCGTGACTCGAGAACCGACGGAAACCACAATCAGGACGAAAGGACAAAACCCTCACCCCCGCGAACCAGTTTATCGGCAAATCGAGTCGAACAGAGTGAGTACAAGGGACGAAATAGTCGATGGAGAAGAACACATATAAACGTACGGATACAAGAAGAACACTGTCCCTTCACAATCGCTGATAATGTCACCTCGGCGGGTGATGAAACGTTTCAAACAAATTGCCAAGCTCGGCGAACAGGCGAAATAGAATCCTTCGCAATCCTTGTTTTCCGGTTCCCTCCTTCATGGAAATGCGTTTTACGTTCCGCCGAATAGAAAGCAGTTGCAGAACTTAAACTGCTAGTTCACTCATCTGTGGATTAGCTCGCAATGCCTAAGAGTATAATAAGAAGGTAAAATAGCCCCCCCCTAAGATGTTTACTAATTATGCCTCAGTACTGTCGCAAAACGAATCGTTTCCCTACAAATGCTCCCTGATGCTCGCGAAATTCTATTCATCGCCTTCCCCTTGGCGTGGGTGTTGTCCTTGACGTGAGTCATCGAAAATCCGGTCACCGAAGTTCAGTTGAGTTCAGTTTGTACAACCATTAACCATGCACTTTTGTGCGCCTGATTTGGTTACCTTTTGGATGCCCGTGATGCGTGCACCCGGTGAGATACAACTACCCAGATTAAAAAGCATGTCTACTTGGTCTATTAATTCACCAGTCAGAGTGATGCTGGATCCTTGATCAAACCAGTCTTGTAGCAAAATTTTACATTCTGACGGTACAGAATGCATATAGAATGGGCTACATTGGCACTCAACTTATCCAGAAACGCTTGCAACTTACTTGGTCTCTACTTATCAGTACAATGTGGTGTGCTTACTCCATATCACCAACCACATGGAATCAACTCGACACCACTATCCACGCCACAGTAATGGTGAGATCAATGGGCTGCAGATGAACCCACGGCATGACCTCAAAATGATAACCGTTGTCAATTTGCCCGAGCTCCCTAGAAGCGGCATTCTTGATCAAAGGAATCATGTCGGGACACCGACTTCGGCTAAATCGTCATCTGCATTCGCCTTGCCACTCTGGCATTTATTTAAGTTGTTTCTGTATAACATCTAACAGACATTGTGAATAATGTCTCTTGTCGCCAGCACCCAATTCTGTTTTCGCGTTATTGGCTTCCGTTTGCGGGTTTCATGTTTGAGCAGATGTTCTCCCCGGGCTACATGTATCATTAGCGTGTGTCCATCGATTTTCATGAGATTTTTACCTCTGTAATTTCAATCAAGATTGCATGATTACTGACAACTAATGATCTTTCAATTTATCCACTGTCAGAATGGTCATTTAGTTAACCACTGAAAGGTAGTCATTTTTCTGATGTCAGACGAACTGGCACAAATTCAAATACCAGCGTTTTGACAACCTGCGTGATTTCTAATTCACATTGTAAAACTGTTTAAATTGTATTATCTCCAGTGAATTTTACTCGTTTGCCATTGAATGACTGCGTATCTGAATTTAGGGGAAATGAAACGGAAACAGTCTGATTTCATATGGTTGATCAACTGTGACGATGAAACTATAGGGTTTCACAATTACTCATTGGTGCGGATTATTGGGATCCTATAATTAACTAATTAGAGGAAAATGACTTTCAGCAGCGTTGTCCATTACAGAGCGTAATCCTCATTTTGCACTGTTTTCAGACTAGCCTAGTGGGTCTTGGTTCATACACTCGTTGGTTCGGTTTATTTTTATGAATGACACTGAGGACAATAATTACCGATAAAGGTGTGAAATATGTGCTCTAACAATTGGTTACTACCAGAGAAATGGACATTTTCGTTCGTTGCACTTTAGGATTTACCTCTGAATAGTCCCGCAGTACTTTGTCAATAGATAGTTCTATGATTAGAAGCATTTTCATCATAACTAGTGGGGACGATGTAGATTATGAAAATTTCCTCTTCAGTATACGCTGGTTGGTTGGGTGTTTCCGGTTCTGCATCAAATTGCGCGAGTATACTGTTGAAAGTACGTATTTCGCAGTACCCATAAATCACAACATAAAACCGTCTTCCACCCATAAAATTTGTCCCAGAGATAATCTGAATTGCCTCATCAATCACTTGTTTTTAACCTCCTGGATTTTGTGATTCACACACAGTCAACCGGAAACAATTAAATTTAATACAACTTGTTCTTCGCGCGATGTAAGAAAATTTGTGGCCTGTGGGGTTAAAAGCCCATAATTAACGCATTTCTGACAGAAGTAATCATCCCACACCGCCTTCGATGGTTTAGTCACGCATTGCGTATGCCTGTCCATCGACTACCTTTCTGTACTCTCTTTTCACGTGCTAGGCAAGGCTGGAAGAAGCGCCGCGACGGTCAGAGCATGACATGGCCTAGAGGTATGAAGAAACTGGCTTCAGCTTTGGCTTCGGTTGGTGCAGCCCGCATTCCAGGTTGGGGCCCAAGGGATGAGGATTGTCGTTGGTTAGAGTTGATGAGAGATATTGACCGGAATAGAAGTCAGTAAGGCGAATGCTGTACGGTCTGCCTGTTGAAGTCCCATCCTCTCTCTCCCCCCCCCCCCCCGAAAAAAA